TTCTTTCTCATCGAGAAAAACCAGCCTGAATCCCCCCCACGTCGACACGAAATAGAAAAAAAAAAGAAAAAAGAAAAAAGAATTTTTCGGCAAGCGAATCCATGGAACAAATTCGTCGTCAACAAGCCTTGTACGTACGCATGCGTACGAGCAAAACTGCTGACCACCATCAATTCGCATTACGGATTTCGGTTTTGTCGCTTAGACAGGGCTGAACAACCCGAAACGAGGAGGATTAATCCAGTTAGCCCGGCAACACCATCGTCGACTGTGACCGATGAATGAAATTCGGGGTGGCCGACCTTATTTCGCGTCAACCCCTTCCCCACCACGGCGCCTGCATTCCCTTTTCGCAGCCCCCTCCCTTTCAACCTCTTTTTCCCTCCTCTTTCCTTCACTCCCCCCCTACCGCCGCCCGGGCGAGTCCGTACAGTCTGCCGCACTACTCTGACGTAATCACACCCCCTTCTGACGTCACGACCCACGTTGCATCAACCCTTCCACGAGGACAACGTCCTCCTTCCGTTCTTCTCTCTCTCTCGTCACTTCTCTTCTCCGCTCGTCTTCTCTGTTAATTATTCTCGAATCAATCGAACTCGAAACGATTATCGATCGATCGAGAGGATCGTGAATTCGTAGAAATTCCGTTCTATGATTTTATGGATTAATGAATATCGTTTTTGGAAAAAGGAGATTTAAATTTGGTACAAGTAAATTTATATATTGATTTTGGTGGAATTTTATTCAATTTATTTGAGGAGTATAAAATTATTCGAAGCATTGAAAACATTGGAGAAGTTAAAAGTTTTTAATAGAATAAAGTTGCTTTAAGTAATTACTTATTATTGGAATGCTTGAATAACATTTATTCGTAGAGCTGTTATATAAGTCGAGGCTCGTATAACCTCGACTATTATTAGTTATTATTATTACGTTTCGCGAAACGATAAATTATCGAAGCAACTTTATTCGTTATTAAATTTTGTCTACGAATCCGTCCTTCCATTTGTCTGATCGCGACAGCGTTCATTTCACTTGGTATGTCCAATAACGTGTCATTCCACTTCTTCAATCATCAATCTTATTTCGCTCGTCTGAACATTACCTTCTTATTCCGCTTCCGTGGAAGAACTCGTATGACTAATAGTGTCCTGCTCTACTTGTCCCCTTCTTCTCTTCGACTCTTAACCTTGCTCGACCAAAGTTTTTTTTCGAGTCTTAATTAAAGTTAAACGCGCTTCTTAAAGAAGCTTCGATTCGACGGAAAGGATTGAAAATGGTATCCGCCTCCGGCCGACGAATGAAAAGAAGCATCCGTTGATGTAATTAAACGATTCCTTCGGGCAAATACGTTTCGGCTCCAACTCGTGTCGGCTCCAACTCATTACCCAACTTTCCCGCTTCTTTGTTCACATTTGGACCAATTCAATCCCCATCGAGAAGAAAGCGAGAAGATGCTGAGAACGATTTAATGGCCTCTCCCCGATGCTCTACCGTCAATCGAGGATAATATCGTTAAAAAAGTTGGACGAGCCCCTTCTGAAAATTTTTCAACGGGATCCTAATTTCAATGGGCCCTCGAGGAACCTTTCTTTTTCTTTTTTTTTTTTTTTTTTTTTTTGTATCGAACTTAAAGTACCAAGGACAAGCGATTCTTACAACGAAGTGAGACAAACTTTTTTACAGGGAGGAGGGGGAGGAGAATCGCGTCAAACTTCGAGAATATTCTTCTCCCTCGGCGATGATTACCTCGTTAAAATTATTAAACTTCTCGCACGAATTGTCATCATGAATTGGATTAATCATTCGCGAAAAAAAATTTTATATATTTCGACGGAGGGAATTACCTTTGAGCAAATTTCGATTCGAAAAGCGGAGAGATTGTGTAAATAAAATAGGAAAAGAAAAAAAAAGAAGAAGAAGCGAAGAAGCGGAATAGGTTTGACGTGAAACAGCGTGCGATTTCCCGATTCCGCCATAAAAACGGCGTGGCTCCCATTAAAATCCAGGGGATACGGATGGATAGGATTTTTACGAGGTCGTGTCACGTCGAAACGTAGGGGAGGCTGAAATGATGCATGCGGTCGTACGTGTACTGTATTTTCATGCAATTTCTCTTTACGAGGGCAACGATGCGCGGAACGATAGAAAAACGGCGTCCAGATTACAAGGTTTCCGGCATCCGGTGTGCTTGCATATATATATATATATATATATATATATATATAAAGCACATCGTTTGTCGTTGCCTGTACGATAAACGTGGCGGTGTTTCGCTTCATTGCGTTTATTACGTGATATGACGAATTCTTTTAAAATTTAATTCTTTCTTCTTCTTTTTTTTTTTTTATCGATTGTATTATCCGTGCAGTTGGATTAGATTACGTTACGTTAATTCAACTTTCGTTTTCCGGGCTCGTGATGTCTGACTGCTTTCCCTTTCGATCTCTTGCTCCTTATTTGAACTGGCTGCGCATTCACTCTCTCTCTCTCTCTCTCTTCCATTCAGCGCAGTCATTCCTAAACGACATTCAGCCACTTTCAACCGAATCCTTGAATGCCCGAGCACGCCATTCTCCGTCCATTCGTTCCAAGCATTTTTCCCCTCCTTCCCCCCCCCCGTACCATCGACACTTTGCACAATAAGCACGCCTTCGTTAACACGACTCGTATTCTATTTCATTAACGCGTTAATACATATATGTATATATATATATATATATATATATATATATAATTATTAAATTGTTGTTTCATATTTTATATTCTTTCCAAATAAAAAAAAAAAAAAAAAAGAAACGAATCGAACGAAACTATATTCAAAATAAATGGACGAATTCAACATGGAAAAATACCATTTCACGAATAGAACGATAAAGACATCAAAGAGGAATAAATGAACGAATGAAAACGTTGATACGTAGGCATCAAAGAGTAAAATGCGTTGCGGTGGCAAAAATCACGCCGCGTGTACAACAGCGAGGAATAAAAGATAATAAAATAGATGCAATTTTTTTTTTTAAATGCAAGGAAACTTTTAAACGATCGAGGAAACGAAAGGAAGCGTTTACTCGTGCATTCCTTTTACGTGCCATAAATTCCCGTCTGAATCGTTATCGCGATCTGTGTTTCGCGCACTGTGTTACGAAGCGCGAACCGGCCAATAATTTTCCACATTAGATCCAGATGGATCTAATTCGAAGCTTCGAAAGAGGTTGGGGATTTTCGAGAAGAATTGCAATCGAGTCGTGCAACCGGTTGGCGATATCGAATTCCCCGAATTTGGGTGTCGATTGGAGAAAGAGAGAGAGAGAGAGAAAGAGAGAGTAATTTGATGGTCGTTTGGCAGAGAATTCGACGGACGAGTTTAGCGGTTCACGTGTCGAGTTCCCCTAATATATATATATAGGGTATATTAAGTTTCATGGAATTTGAAAATTCGGAGTGAGAGGGAATAAAGACTACGATTTCACGCTCACTTTCCAACCTCTGAAATCCATATTCTTGGCTGAATTTAAAAATCTCGTATCACGGGGAGTATCTCATTCTACTCGATGTCGAATGTCTATGACACGGGAGTAAGTGTAGAGACGCGTACGAAGATGTCGAGCCTAGTTTCTCTCGCCTCCCCCTCGGGACCCGTAACTTTAAACTTAAGTTCGGACGATTTTCCAGAACGTGGAAACTTTCGTCAAAATGCTCGAGAGGATGCGATGCAAGTTTTCAAGGACTCGCGCGATCGGTGCATTTGGACCAACGCGTTGGGGAGAAACTCGTGGAAAATTCGCCGAGTGCGTCGAAGCGAAGTGCTTTCGAAGGCGGGAAATTTGAAACGATTTTAAACTCTGGTAACCGCGTTACGATACGGATAGAGGAGACACGGCGAGTTAAAGGCGCAAAGTAACCGTAACAACAGGGCCGCTGTTAATTGGCCCCGCTTCTTCGTTCTCGCGCGATGCCTTTCGCCTCTCGTTCGAAATTTGCATGTCCGTCGCGCGGAACCTATTTGAAATTTAAATCGAAAATAAACTGATGGTTTCCCCTGCGCGGGCAAATTTCGACTTTAATTAAATTATTCATAGGGGACGGTGGACAGGCTGAGGGTGTAATCCTTTATTCGGCTTAATTCCCCGGTGAATTCGTAATTACCCTTTGTTCCAGTCTCGTCAATGATTCCACCTTCTCATTCATACTTTTTCTTCGTCGATCAACACGATTATGAAAAACGGCAATAACAGAATTAAACGTAGAGGAAATTTTTATGGCGAAAGGGGTGAACGTAAAAATTCGAAGGATATTTGGAATATTTGTTGTTGATGGGATGAAAATCATCAATGAAATTGCTATTAATAATAATTGTGAATGTGTTCAGTGGCGGGGATAAGATTATCAAGGGTAGGAGAAAAGCCGATGAAACGTCGGCCGCGCAAATTACATTACATTACATGACATTTCATGAGTCCTTAACCTTCCTCTATAGAGTTAATCAAAGATCGATATTAATCGCCGTGGAAACCGATTCGTTCGATCGACTTGGAATAAGATTTTATTCCGAATCTTCGATTCTTTTTTATTGATTAGATCGAAATCAACATTTTCTTGACATTCCTCGATCTTTGATCAGTACTTAAGTAATACTGGATGAAATCGCATCGTTTTACCTTGTCGAAGATACAACGTTTTATATTTCGTGTTGTTTATGTAATCTCGTAATTTTGATCGAAAAAAAAAAGGAAATATCGGATTACGATAACCTTTCGATCGATCAAAATATCAAAAAAAGAAAAAAGAAAATTTTAATTCGAACTTACAAAACAAAGCAAAAATCATTGGTCAAGACTCACATACATCGAGAAGAAAGATATTTTGTTTGTCCACGTGGTTTCGAATACCTTTTTCCCCTTCACCGAAACCAAACTTGACACAACTTCGCAAACAATCCGTTTCGAGCCGGACAAATCGAACCAATCTTAACTGAAACCCCCTCCCTCCCGTTCCAGGTGAGGAACTGTGGATTGGTGGTGTAGGACCTCGGCCCCAGGAGTGGCCCGGGGGTTACCCTGGGGACCTCGGGGAATCGTTGGCGCGAGGACGAGGCAGCTAAGAACGACGAAGGACACGGGAGGCGGAGGAGGAGGCCGCTATGAACGCCAGCGTCAACATCGAGAGGAACTCCTGGCGGCTGCCTCCCGACGAGACCGTCCAGGTCGCCGATCCCCGTTCAAAATCAGCCCAGGTAAAAGAGGTAAATCGCTCCAGCGGTCCATCCTTCGTTTCCCCATCCTCGTAACGTTCGTACGAGTCGGTCGAGGTCGTGTACGAGATTCGTCGAGATAATTCGTCAGGTTTTCAAAGCATGGAAAAATCTTGTTACGCGCTGTCGACAAGTCGCTGTCGACCAGTTATTGTCGATCGGTCGCTGACGACCAGTCGCTGTCGACCGGTCGCTGACGACCAGTCGCTGACGACCAGTCGCTGACGACCAGTCGCTGACGACTAGTCGCTGTCAACCGGTCGCTGTCGACCAGTCGCTTCGACCGGTCGTTGACGACCAGTCGCTGTCGACTAGTCGCTGTCAACTAGTCGCTGGCGATCGATCGTTGACGACCATTAAATTCTCTTCGAAGTATTGTGCGTTGCTGGTAAATTGACACCCGCTAAATGTAATACACACTGGCATATGCTGTTGGTGGTAGTTAATAGATGTGACGAGTATTGAGCCAATTATAAGAATGCGTGTGATTCGGCTGTATGTTTGTGTTCGATTACGTGTTTAAGTAGGTTGAATTATCTCTCTAGATCCTATATTTTTTCCGCCAATTTACCAGCAAATATGATATGAGTAGTGGTCGCGAAAATCTGCGAGTCTCTGGATTGATGAAAGGTAACACGAGCGATGTGACTTATTGCATCGAAACAAATTTTTTATTTACAATTTTCGAGTTTGGTTTAGTTACAAGCCGTTTAATCGTTATCGATCTGGTCTATAGTTTGCGACAAGTCAACAGTGCGTAACGAGAGTGTAAATATGTCTTGTGTCTATTATTCTAATTTTTAAATACGACAATCACTGATCGTAGTTTGATGAATTTTTTCTTTTTTTTTTTTTTTTTTTTGTATCAAGTCTCTGGCACCATCATAGTCTAGTGTACAGGATGCAAAAGGATGCATTGATTAACACGGTTAGAGGGAATTGTTTCGTGTAGAAAATAAAAATGAAACGATTTTTATTTGGGTTTTTTTCTTTTTTTTTTTTCTTTTTTTTTTTTTTTTTTTAGATTTTCACGAATACACGAATACACGAATACACGATTTGCGGATCAAGAGGATTTCGAATATCGTTTCATTTTTGTTGGAATAATAATCCAATGGATTATTTGTGCAACATGATGCAATTTATGCATATTGTTTTCCTTATAAATGTTTGTCTTCCTCACGATATTGTTAGAGGTTATAACACGATTATAGTGGTTGACTGGTAGCAATGAACACGGAGAATATTCCGGCCACGGGTAAATGTAATTAAAACGCATGCTGGTAATGGAGGATTTTGCATTTGAGGTGGAATGAGATTGATAGCTGTGAGCGTTAGAATACTTGTGACCGATCTAGCGTGCCACCAACAAAATACGGAGCGTGCCTGTTACAATTAAAGGTAACGCGTTAACATAATTTCAAGGTGACACGACACAATTTTCCACGTGTGGAAAATTCATTGATCGCATTCAGCTCGTTGATACGAACGTTTTTTAAAAAATTTATTTTTAAACAATAATAAATAATTAGTTCGAACAAACTTTATCGATGAAGAGCAACACTTTTCTTTAATCAATTTTCTCTCAAAAGGAGAGGGGAGGGGTACAAGTAAAACATTAAGCGCGTTAAAACCGGAAATTGCACGTGCATCTGTTTCATTAACTACCTTCTCCGTCCCGAAAGCTCACGGTTTACGACCGCTTGAAATAAAATAAAGTAACACTTGCACCGTTTCCGCGCCAGGAGGGGAGGGATGGCGGTGATCTAGGAATTAACAAAAACAATTAAACGTAAACGAGCGTGAACGAACGACTCCGTTAAGTCGTCGTTCTTCACAATCACTTTTGCCAGCGGATTTTCATCGCGGGCGTTAAATTTTCTCCGTCGAATCACTACGTTGGAAACCAGCCTATAAAATGACCACGTTAACCACCTTTTCCTTCCTTTCGTAACTTTTACGTAAAAATCCTCATAAATCATCGTAATCCTTTTAATTCACTACCACTGTCGAAATCGTGCGATATCTCGTCGTCGATAAGGATCGAAATCACCACGTGTACGTACACCCGCGAAAGAAATATCGCGCATATCTGTCCGATGTACATCGACAAGAATGCGACTCGACAAGAATCGCGTTGAAAAGGAATATCGAAGCACGTGGATGGATGGCACGCGACAGCGAAATTTATTAATATTGTAACATGGCTATTGCGCTCCGTTCGAACGAAATGTATCGATAATTTATCCGTCAAGAGCGCTACGAATAAATAACAGGGCGTCTCTTACGTTTCATCGATGGGAACGAACGTGTTAAACTCCACTGGAAACAGAAAAAAATTTAAAGGCCTTAACGACGTTCCACTCGAGCCACTTACCATCGATTAATCAGAATTGCAAATGCGCGTTCGATCTTGGACTGGGCGAACAACTCGATAAAAAGTTGTGAAGGATTTCTGAAAGGTGCGCCAGAGAAGGAGGCGCTAATTACGAATCGGTGATGAGAGAGAATGGCGAAGAGATAGATAGATAGAGAGAGAGAGAGAGAGAGGATTCATTATGCGGAGCCGCTGGCTTCAGCTCCCTTTGTTTTCTCAGCTCTCGTCACCGGCCACGCGAGAATTCACTCGTCGACTTCACCGCTTTGGATACAGCTTTGACCACGTTGCCGACCGAGGACACCTTCGACGAGGAAGTTAATTATGCAGGGAGGAAGGAAGACCGTTATCCATCTCCAAGAGACGGTTGAAAGGAACGACTGCGAGTTGCAGATAACCGATTTCCCTCGCTACGATTCAACCGAGCGTCCTCTCCAGTTTTCGTCGACCGACTTCTTTGGGCGAAAGATTGAAATTTCGAAAGGAAAGGGGAGAGGTTATTCCAAGATCGAGAAACAATTATTGCGGAAGACGAAAGATAACGAACGTTTGGAGAAATAGGAGAAATTTGAGAGTTGATATGAAATAATAGCGAGAATAGAAGGAAATAGAAGAATTATTTTAAATTCGAAAAATCTGACCAACATCTTCTCCCGTTACTTAAAAGAAATCGAGCGAGGTCGAAAGCTCGGAGGAGCGAACGCGCCAGTCTTTTTCCACTTGCAACGGCTGATTCGCGCGAGCCTGTACTACTTAACTGATCAACCAACCTCAACAGTGTACCGTATACTCGTGCCGCGGCTAAGTGGCAATCGGCGTTTATTAACGGCGATCATCAGCTCGATTACAACCGATCGATTTAAAAAACGCTGATGGCTCGATAATACGCTCGTAATACGACTCATCGAGTGCCTTCCAATCGACTCGATCCGTCGATTAACTCGAATTCCGATTAAATTCCAAAAGTGTCGGTTTAACTATTCTGAATGATAACAAATCTTGCGAAATAATTCTGTGAATGAATCGAGAATCGAGTTTTCGAAGGAGGGAAAAATTCGGAAAAAATTCGTATAGTTGGATTGTCGTCTAGTTGGAAACGTTGTGCAATTTTTCTCTCTTTCGTCGGACGACACGTCGGTATTTATACACCTTAGATAGTCTCTCGTAGATACATCACGTAGCACGTAGGTTATGATTCTCTGAAGAGGCGAGGCGCGGCGAGAGAAGCGGCGCTGGAATCCCGCTGGATCGATAAAACTAGAAGCCTTCAGCGGGAAAATCTAAATTTATACCGACTGTCGGAATACAACTGCGTGTTTGGATAACATTTACATGCCGCGCGACAATGTCGCGGCCAACGGAGAGATCGGCCGCCGCAAATTTTCAGACGAATGCAGATTTATTCATGAATATTCGCATGCGTTGCCCTACCGTCCCCTGGTGTCCCATAACAGGGAACAGGAATCGAATAATTTTCATTTACTTTCGAAATTGTTTATACAATGATCGCAGATCGTATACACTTACACATTTTTTGGAAAAAGAAATAGCATGGAATGTAGCAAGAAAAGGTATATCCTCGCTTATTATTATTATTACTTACATTTGATTTTTTATTTTTTAATCTCACAACTCTTATGTTCAGACACTATAGTATAATGAAAAATGAAGAAAAAGTGGTGCAATTAACTTCGTTTTTTGTAATATTTTATTACAGTGAATATTTGGAAAAAGAAATAGTATGGAATGAAAAGATATATCCTCGCTTATTATTATTATTACTTACATTTGATTTTTTATTTTTTAATCTCACAACTCTTATGTTCAGACATAAGTATAGCGAAAAGTGAAGAAAAAGTGGTGCAATTAACTTCGTTTTTTGTAATATTTTATTACAATGAATATTTCGAAACGAAGTTATCATTTTCACTCTTTTTAAATAATACGTTTAATCAATATGCAAATTTATCGACGAGTAATAAGGTAAATACGTAAAGAACGAGCTCTTTGCTGATAATAATTTTCGAAACGAATCTATTCTATTTAATCAGAATCGTAGATTAAATTTAAAATGATGTGGTTTCGACGAAAAATAAATCAAGGATCCTCCACGCACATCCGATAAACCTTCGAAATTTCAACAATTTTCTCCAACAATTCGAGACACTTGAACGCGACCATCTTTTTCCAAGGGTATGAGGAAGAAAACCGGCTTCCGGTCGAAGAAATATCGAAGCACGTCGACACAGCACACTCGAAGGAGACAGCAATTTTACATGGAAGAGGCGACAGAAAAATCCTTTCGAATCCGTTCGAATTTAGGGAAACACCTCTAATTGGTGGTGGGGAGTGTGACAGGTCTGACTGGAGACTTTTCGCGCCCTTTTCGCGGTTCTGATGGCGATTCCCCGCCCCGAAAACGACGCGTTTAACGACCGACACCGCCGTTATCGTGACGACCCATTAACGAGGGCGATGCAATTTTCGCGAAACGGCGGACCCTTACCCGCCACAGGTCTCGATTTTCCACGCCGATCGATGCGCACGACTTCCCCCCAAGCTCTATTATTTTCAACCTCGACTATAATCCGCTTTTTTGGATAACGAGATTTCT